TAGACCTTCAATGGATCGAATTTTTATTTGAATTCGATCTAATAATTAAGATATGGATTGAGTGATAATTTATTAAGTTAACAAATCGAGTATGGATTATGGTCAATTCGTTAACAACCCGATTCAACCAAATATAATATAAAATATTCTATACTATGATATGATATAGTTGATGAAAAAATTAATCAAAAATATTGTTTACATAGAGTTTTATCATGTATAGTATGGGTCAAGTGCAAAAAACACCCCTCAAGTATGCATATAGTGCATATCACACCCCTCACGTGCAAAAAAACACCCCTCAAATTTCAATTTGGTGCAATTAGGTCCCCCTGACACATTTAAAATTTAAATTGACCAAATTAGCCTTATTAATAATTTTATAAAATATATAAAAATAATTTTTTTTTTTTTGTAAAAAGACCAAAAAGGACATTAAACATTATTTTGCAAAATAATTTACAACCCTAATATAGAGCCGATTGCAATTAGATTGACGGTTGCAGAGAGCGGTGAAGAGATCGGCGGTTGCAAGCATGATGGCGGAACGACGGCAGCGAGCTCTAGCGCCGCCGAAGGTACTGGCTGCAGCGAAGACCAACCGGCGAAGATACTGGAGGAGCTAATGGTGGGACAGCATGTTCCCTGGGATTTCAGAGATGCCGCTATCATACACACTGTCGCTCCGGCCAAGATTCAGATCGGAGAAGCTTCTTCGCTCCGGCCAAACTCCGGATTCTCGCTAATTGCATCCTTACATCCTCGCTAATTGCGCCGCCGGGTTTGGATTGAATATGGTTTTGAGATCCTCTGTTTCTTCTTTTTTGGTTCATTGTTGAGTTGTTAGAAGTGGGTTTGGATTGAATACGATTTTTGAGTTCATTTAGAGTGTTGGGTCTTTGTTGGTTTTGGGGGTTTTGTTGTGGTAATGGATGTGGTGGCGTTGGTGTGAAGCGGCAGTGACGATGAGCTCGGTGGGGATCAAATAGGTGGGTAACTGCCCGGCGAGCACATATGGAACTGGCGACGAGCAAGAACAGAATGCTCGGCATGCAAGGAGTGAACAACAACTGTAAGAGTCACGATGCTAATCGGCGGGCAAAGATTGTTGACGTCTAGCTCTCGCCGTCGGCATTGAAGATGCCGTCGCCGGAGGTGATAGTACTGTTAACACTTCCCTTTTTTCGTTTGTACAGTACACGATGATATTATCACCTGCATTAGTTTGCAACAGAGATAAGTTTATCATGTTTTGCTCATTTTATTGCCTGTGATGATTGTGGGGTGGAGGTTTGAAGATGATAATGGGAGGTTTGAGTTGTGTAATAAAATGGGGTTGTCGTTTTGGGGTGGAGAATAAAGTTTGGTAGGGGTATTTTTGGAAGAGTAAAAGGGTAAAATAGACATTATATTAATTGAGGAGTCTTTTCGCACAAATTGAAAAGAATAGGAGTGTTTTTTGCACACCTTTTTAAATAGGGAGTAAAAGTGTTACGAAATGTATACTTCAGGGTGTTTTCTGCACTTACCCCTGTATAGTATTAGGACCCTAAATTAGACACAGTTTTTCTTCATTTTTTAAAAATTCTTTTCATCCTCCTATTGTTTTATTATTATTATTATTTTTATAAAGAATAAAATATCAAATTTCTCTCTTTTTCATATATTTTGGCCCTTCTCCATCTTTCTATCTTTTTAAAAAAAATTATTTTGAAATTTTAACAAAAAAATATACCTCCTATTAGATCAAGATCAGATTTAATAGATCAGATATAATATCCGATAAATTATCAAATTGGATATAAAGTCAGAAACATATATAATTCATTGTGTTATTGGACCGAATCACTTATATTCTTTATCAATTCAGGTCCAATTCGAATGCGATCCAATCCAAATCTGATCCGTGTTTATAACCAAAGTTCAACAGGCGGGATTCTCTTCCTCCATACACATGCGTGCATGTATATTAGTGTGTGTGTGTGTGTATATATATATATATATATATATGATAATATTGACTAATTTGATCGGGCACACAGAGTCTTTGAGTCCAGACAATACCTTCGTCAAGCAAACTCAGACCAATAAATAAGTAGGCCGAACATAGACAAAATCAACGTTGTCTTGAACTTGTTCCCATTTTTTAACATCTTGAAACAAAAATCCTGAGACTTGAGAGTTGAGGAAATGGCGCACACAAGATATATTCTGTATGCTTTGTTTGGCCGGATGAAATCAATTAGAAAATAAAAAAAATAGAAATTTTTTAAATTTATTTGGGATCTGTTTGGTTAGATGAAAATGGATGGTGGAAAGTGAAAGTGAAAGTGAAAGAAAGTGAGGTGAAAAAAAAGAAAATTAAGTTTTCATAGTGCATTTGGTTAGCATGAAAAATTTTCAAGAAAGTTGTGAGAAAATATTATATTATTAGTTTGGATGGAATGAAAGAGAAAAGAAAATGATTGTACTTGTCAAAATTGCCCTTATAATTTTAAATACTATAATATATAGTAACGAAATTCAGGTGACTTGGTGTCTCATACAAGTTCAGAATATTATCATCAATAACAAAATTTAATGCATGCATTAATTTTACTCAAATTTTTTTGTATTTTTAGTATTTAAAATTATATATATGTATGTATGTATGATTTGGACATTACAGTTTATATAGTAATTGTAAGAACTTTGATGAAATCGAATAAGATTAAAATTGTTCCACTGTATGTTTGTTTATATTAGAATAACTAAAACTAATAAAATTTTACATATAACAACCAAGTTTATGGGTTTTTTTTTTTTTTAATTCAACTAAAATTATATAATATAGAATATTTTGTACTATTCTTTTTAAGGAACATATATATTCCCTAAAACTTATAATAACTCTAATATCCAAATTCTAAAACCTAGTTGATATGTATACAGAAAATACCCACCATAATATTTTATATGTATATATGTATTTGGAAGGGAAAAAAAAAAAAGGGGGAAAAAAAGAATAAAGCGTTAAAAATAGATTTAAAATTTTAAAATATAACTTAACAAGTTTCCCGAGAAACAAAATTTTTCACTTATTTTATACCGAAATCGTTTTAGAGAAAATTAGGTATTTGCGGGAATCCAGTTTCCTGAAAACTTTCTGTTTCATCATAAATTAATTTTTCGATTCTTTTCATTTCTTGTTAATTCTATCTAACCAAACGAACTCGGACTTTATATAGAAGGAAAGGAAAATTTTAATTTTATTTGCACTTGCCTATTATCCTCCAAAACTTTTCCTCCACAAAAAACGGAAAATAATATTTAAAAAATTATTGGGGAGGCAACCAGTTTAGTGGCTTCTGTCTTTATTTTTTTATTGGGGAGGCAACCTGTTTAGTGGCTTCTTTCTTTATTTTTTATTGGGGAGGCAACCTGTTTACTTGCTTCTTTCTTTATTTCTTACTGCGTTTCTTTGTGTGTTTGGGCCATAAACTATTATATAGATGATGATGTAATACTTGATAATAATATACTTGAGAACAACAATATATAATTGTACCCCAAAAAAAAACATATAATTAATTTTTTTTTTTTTAAGTTTCGTTTCTTTTAAACTAATAATTATTTTTACCTAAAAAAATATTATGAAGCCTTATTTTAAATATAAATAATATAAATAAATATTAAATAATTATATTATTAAATTTAATAATCCATCATTACTATTTCTTTACTTAAAATAGATTTCATCAAACACAAATTTATTTAATTTTTTAGTATTTGAAATCATATAGGTAGTTTTAGTATGTATAATCACTTTCTTTTCACTTTTATGCTACCAAACTAAGTAACTAATGTTTTCCTACAATTTTCTTTAATAAATTTTTATGTTAACCAAATGCATGTTAGAAAATTACTTCTTTTTTTCATTCACTTCACTTTCTTTTTATTTTTTATTTCTTTTCTTACTTATTTCCATCTAACCCTCAGTCATAATATTTTAACATAGAAAATATTTGTAATTTATTTATTTGGAGATATCACTTGTGATGATTTGATTATGCAAAGAAATTATAAGTAATGCAATACTAAAATATGTATATGTTTCTCTCTCCTTTTTCTTCTTCTCTCGGAAAATAAAACAAAATATATTGATTATATTATGAAAATTATAAAGTAAAAGTCAGCACCGACAACTTAGCTGGTAAGGTATTTGGAGTACTCTTCTTGTGTCTTTAATTTTGAGTCATGTAATTTTTTCAAAAGTCCAAAAGTGTATAAGCCAGTGAAATGATTCTTCTACGCAAAAACTCAAGTATATAATATTTATATACTTGGCGCCAAGTTACAAAAGAAATTCATATTATTGTAGGTCAAATTTAAGTGTAAAAAAAATAAAATAAAATAAAAATTTAAACGTAAGAGAGGACCATATTATATATATCGATGATCACACTCTGAACTAGTTTGTGTTTACAGACTGAAAAAAAAAAAAATCGTCAGTGCCAAATCGTTTTTGCAACTAATGGAGCAAATAGAGATCCCCCAAAGCTGCATTTCCTCCGTTCCTCATGATGAACACCTCATGCTCCAAACTCTTGCTAGAGAGACAAACTGTGATGGAAATCTCTACTTAATTATTCCAAGGCTTTTGGTGTCCACGGAAGGCCATTCATGGTGTGATGGCCTTCCAACGACGCTTCCAAGCCCGCGAAACTGATCTACTCCTACCCAGTTTTCCAAAATGTGGCACCACCTGGTTAAAAGCCCTCATGTTCACCATCGCGAACCGCACTTGTTTTGCTCTCAAAGACAGCCCCTTGCTCACCACCAGCCCTCATGATCTTGTACCCTTCACTTAGTTGGATCTCTACTTCAACAAAAACCATCTCCCAAACCTTGAAGACCGTCCAATTGATTACCCGAGAATTTTCTCTACCCACACACCCTATGCATCACTACCGGCTTCTATTATTAGTAGAGATACAACGCCTTGGTGCCGCACTGTCTATATGTGTCGAAACCCTTTGGACCAGCTCATTTCCCTCTGGCATTTCTTACTTCATTGTCAATGTTGCCATGAAAATGGTATGTCACAACTTTCTTTAGAAGAAGGTTTCGAATTGTTTTGTAACGGAGTTCAAAGTTTCGGGCCTTTTTGGGACCATGTGTTGGAGTACTGGAAGGCGAGCTTGGCGAATCCAAACAAGGTACTATTCTTGAAATATGAGGAGTTGAAAAATGATGACATTGTCAACTTTGAGCACCTGAAGAAGTTGGCTGAGTTCTTGGGATACCCTTTTTCAGCAGATGAAGAGAGAGATGGTGTGATAGAACAAGCTTCGAGGTTGTGTAGTTTTGAAAATCTTAAAGATGTGCTTGTTAACAAGACTGGCAAACACAAGTCAGGGGTTCAAAATAGCTCCTATTTTAGGGAAGGTAAAGTTGGTGATTGGGCCAATTTTCTAACTCCTTCCATGGGAGAATATTTGAACAATCTTGTGGAAGAGAAGCTGGCTCGCTCCGGCTTAACATTCAGGCCAGGTCTTCTTGATCAACTGGGATCCCATCCCGCGCAGAAGGGATCACGTGCTCATATGGTGCATCAAAATGTTGTTGTTTCAGTACATAACACGTAGTCCAATGCAACTCGTGCAGATCTTTAATACGAGACTCTAATTATGCCTGTGCATCAAAACGGTACAAAAGATTTCCTCCCTACAGGAGGGATCCTATAAGTTTGTGCTAGCTCATCAATAATTATTGTCATGATGATTCACTGTGGCTCAATTGTTGTACTATTTTCTTCAATTTTTTTTTTTTTTCGGAAAGTTATTTTCTTCAATTTATTCGAATAATAAAGGAAAAAAGCACTCTATCATGAGAGCACTCTCAATGTGATCTTGTGTCCGAAAACGACTAGCATACAATCCACAAATAATGAAATATTAGTGCAAATTCAGATAAACATAGTTGGGGATGAAATTTAAGGTTGGCATGTAATTCAATAGTGGAATTAAAGCTGGTGGGAATCTCACTACGTAACACACAATATAAGAGAAAAGAAAAGACAAATCTATATATTCAAATAACAACATTTACTGGTTACAACTAATTTATATTCCTAGTGTGCTAAATTATGAAAAATACTGTAATGCTTCAAATTTTTTGATGAAATTGTATCACTGACTAATTAAATATTCACATCTAGTGATAGAATTTATTAAAGTGAATGCAACTTTACATACTTCTATGTGACAAGATATAATTAGTTGAGAACATTGAAGACATAATTTTACCGGTGTATAAAAGTCTTTTTATTTCATGAATTATTTGTCCATCTTAAATTTTTGCTTATTTGTTTAATTCTTTTAAGGGATTAGACAAACATGAAAGTCACAATCGTTTAAGGGTGCAACTCAGGCGGATTGGATTGGTTAGAGGTACAAGTCAAGCTCAACCTAACACATCAAATATTTAACCTTAATCCGACTTTCAACCCGAGTCCTAATTTTTTTTTTTTTTAATTCAAACAAAACTGTAATGGTAAAATGTTCAAGCTCAGGAAAAATAAGGTTGTTCCTAATTAAGTTTGAGATTAAATTGACCTGCCTAAGTTTTTCTTTTTCTGTTTTTATTTGAAAGGTGTGACCAGCCCAAGTTGTTCTCAGCTACCATGAAGCTCGTGTCCGCAAACTGCTGAGATACCATGAATACATTCCATAGATATATATATGTGCGTGTGTAAAATACATACTAATATACAAATATGAATGTGTGGGAGCGGCGTCAATAGTGGGGCAGGGCTTGGGCTGTAAATGCGTCGAGCCGAGATTGGGGACATTCAAGATCGGCTCGGTTTATTTGGATTGGAGTTTGAGCTTAGCTCAAGCTCGATTGAGCCTAGCTTAGGCAAGATCGAGCTCAGCTCGGTTCGTGAGCTCGTTAACGGCTTCAATATTCATCAATGATTTCGTGTTTATTAGGGGTGGACAAATAATCTGTGAATCCGCGCATCTGATCCGTACAGATCGGTGGCGGATTAAAAAAAATCGAATCCTTAGTTCACGAATCGGATCATGGATTGGACTATTAAAAATCCAATCCGATTATATATTTTTAAAATATATATTAGTTAATTTAATTAGTTAATAATAATTTAATGGAGTCTAAAGTTGTATTAGTTAATAATTTTTGAAATATATGAATTAATATTAATAAATTAAAAGATTAATAAATAATAAATAATATTAATTACAAAATAACAATGGATAATTTAGATAAAACCCAATCCTTGGATCTAATCCGATCCATTATTACACGAATCCGATATATTAGATAACTGATCAGTGGCGGATTAGGATTTGTCTAATCCGTAAGGGAGCGAATTGGATTAAGATTGATGCCTAATCCAATTCGTGGTCACCCCTAGTGTTTATACATATACACACACATCCACACAGATTACCAGATCATCTAACTGAGGAATAATTCACCATTGCCACTCCATAGATGTCTGATCTGAACCCTTTTCATCTTCTTTACACTATCAAACAAAAATGAAGATTCCACCAATGAAATCACGAGAGAGGATCCAGAGAGCAAGAACCTTGGACTTTAAGGTTGCCGACCTGTGGTCGATCCGGTGGATGGCGAAAACTGAAGCTTTCTGGTGGTATTTAGATAGGGTTGCTACAGCGGCAGATGTCTGTTTGCTGTTACTCTTTAGCGTGAAACGAATGAAAGTGGGATGGTATTAGCTAGGGGTGGCAAATGGACAGGTTAGGCCGGGTTTGGGTTGGGTTAAAAATGGACTGGTCAAAAATGTATAGGGTCAACCCGTTATGATCCGGGGAATCATTAATTTTTATTATTGTTATTTTTAATTATTTTTTTAGGAAGGTTTTAAAATTTTATTTAATAACAAATTTTTTTAAAAAAATTCCAAACTCAGTAATATTTATCGACTCGTTAGAAGAAATATTGATGTTTTAAAAATTAAATTTTCTTAAAAATTTTGATGTTTACAAATACGGAAAAAGAAAATAAAAAAAAAAATTGTTGCGTGAAACCTGACCAACTAGCCAAAAATATTGATGTTTTAAAAATAACATTTTATTAAAAACTTTGATGTTTACAAACATGGAAAAGGAAAATGTAATTTGCATATTTGTGAAAAAAAAAAAAAAAAAAAAAAAAAAAAAAAAAAAAAAAAAAAGAAACCATGAAACCTTCTTAAAAATTCTGACATTTATAAAAACGGAAAAGGAAAATATAATTTGCATATTTAAAGAAAAAAAAAAATTGATCCGTGAAACCCAACCGACCTGTCCAAAATATTAATTTTTTTAAAATATAAATTTTCTTAAAAATTTTGATGTTTACAAACTTGGAAAAGGAAATGTAATTTGTATATTTGTATAAAAAAAAAAAAATAATAAATAAAAATGACACTTGAAACCTGACTGACCCGCTCAAAATATTGATCTTTTAAAAGTTAAATTTTATTAAAAATTATGATATTTACAAACATGAAAAAGGAAAATGTAATTTGCGTATTTGAAAATAAATAAATAAAATAAAATAAAAAAATTGACCAGTGAAACTAGCCCAAAATATCTGGGTTGGCCCAACCCAACCCGATTTCGGGTTGAGGTTGGGTTGGGACTAGGCTGGATTGGACCAACTTGCAGCCATAATTGTGAATGAGTGAATTTTAGAGAGAGAAATGAGTTGAGTGAAATAATAGATGTGTGTTGTGTGTTAATTATGTGTTAGGTTAAATATGTGTTCAAATTAAGTGGTTAAAAATTAACCAACCTATTTTTGAACCATCTTAAATATGATTCACCCAAAATCATTAAAAAACTAGCAGATATGGACGGGTTGATGGTTTATGACCCATTTTGGCATCCCTTGTATTAGCCTATTAGGTTTAGGTTTAAATGATAAATGGGCTTGGGTCTGGGAAAAGTATTGGGCTTCATACTCTTTAAAGGGTCATGTTATACTGTAATTGTGTTGGATGGAATTCAAAGAATGTGAAAATGGTTATACAGTGAAGTGGGCCTTCTTAGTTTTAATGAGTAAATGGGCCCTTACATGGATTCAAAAGATTATATATATAGATATATATATTTTAAGTACTAAACATGCCTTTAAACGAGCTTGTTCACGAACAAATGAACCGAACAAAGAGATGTTTAAGATTGACTCGTTTATTAAACGAGCCTAAAATTGTTGTTTGAGTTTGTTTCGTTTATTAAACAAATGAACACAAATTAAACATTTAGCGATCCGAACTCGAGCTATTTGTTGAATGCTTAGTTCATTTACGGCCCTACGCACGGCAAATTTGTGACATTATTTTGATGAGCAAATATTACCGCCTATGCAAAACACCGAAAAATAATAAATAAAAAATATATTTTACATCCAAAAAAACGAGTAATGTGTTAAAAAATATACTACACTATTTTAAAAATAATAATAATAATTAAGACTAACCAAGTACACCATGATTTTGAGAGCCAAATGTAAAACACCACTATAGGATATGAGAATTACAACATAGAATGCGGACTTCTTACCCATTCTTACCTTCTTATTATTAAATATGGATCGACAAGTGCTTCCAGAAAAAACAGAAATAGATAGTGCGTTTTTTCTCCTTCCAGCAACAACAATGTCATCCACTTGTCCCCGTAATTATTGTACTCTCAATTATTTAAAGACCCCATTTTCTTTTCCTTGTTTTAATGGATGAGACAATTATTGTACTCTCAATTATTTAAAGACCCCATTTTCTTTTCCTTGTTTTAATGGATGAGACGTTTAGACTATTACTCGAATTGTTTGTATTAATGAGACAAAAATGTTAATACGACGTCTTTAATGAAAAAAATATGATAAATAAGAGCTGTAAAAGAAAGAAGTGACATTTTGGTAGAGACTCAATTTGAAGGCATTGTAAAAATAATTACTTCGTAGTTTAGAAATGAAACGGAAGTAGAAGACCCTCTGCACGTGTTCGTATAAAATATACAACAATAATAGAATAATATATATTTATTTTAAATTTAAAATATAAATAAATAAAAAATTTAACTACTTTTCTTTTCTAATATTTAAAATAGGGTAAAATGCAAAAAAAAATCTCTGAACTATTGACTAACATGCAACAAATCTCTCTAAACTATAAAAGTTGCAAGAAATCCCCTAAATTATACATTTTTGTTGCAGGTAGCCCCATCCGGCCAAAAGCCGGTTAAATCTCGCCGCTAAAATTTCATGTGACACGCAATATACTATTTAATGACTATAATACCCTTATGAACACAAAAAGACTCTATTACCCCACTACAATAGTCAAATGGTCAAACCCCTCTTTAACTTCTATTACATCCCAACACACCCTCATCCAAACACAACCTTATCCTTCCGTCTATATACCTATCTGTATATATATAGTCGAATTTAAAATATAAAATACTGTTCATCTTCCTCGTATAAATGAAAAAAAAAAAAAAATCTTGCTACAGTCGAATTTAACCTTGTTGGCCAAATTGAACCCATATATATATATATATATATATATATATATATATATATCATACTTGTGATTGCTAAGGAATAAGCA